GCAGTAAATCATTTAGAAATTTAGGATTCATTTTGAGAAACTGTAAAGATTTTAATAACACGTCAGTGGTGAAAATATTATACAATGCTCTCGTTCGTAGTCATCTAGAAGCGACCGCTATAATTTGAATCCTCATGAGGCTAAATATAGCCTTATGGTGGAAAAAATCCAAAACAAGTTCGCTCGATTTCTGTACTACAAAGAATACGGGGTGTACCCACTATACCCGCTCATGTACCCAAGCTTATTCGTCCTCGGCATGGTCGGGTACGTGCGCCTGAGCGTGAGGCGAGACGTGGCGCTGGTGACATACGTGTGGCGCGTGATGCGCGGTTGTCTGCACCAACCCGACATACTGGCGAGTTTGCGGCTGTGCGCCCCTAACGGGTGCGTGGGTGCGCGCCGCCAGCCCCCTCCGCTGAGCGTTCCCGTAACGCGAACAAATTTACTTCGATATGCTCCTATATCACGCGCCATAAGGCTTATTAATATTATTTCAATACAAGTAGATATCTACAACTGTAGCCTGCCGAACTTCAAAGAAGTCGCACAGAGATGTATTACAGCAAATGATTTTTATATATAAATAACTGTTACTTACTGTTTTTACTTACAGTATCGTTTTGGGATAAATCCTGTAAAGACACTGTAATTGTTTTTAATAAATAAATAAATAAATTAAAAATGGCTTACTGTGCAGTGAAATGGTGTGGCAAGCAAGCTAAGACATCCAGTTATCGAAAAGATGGCATAACATTTCATCGGTAAGTAAATTCTATTCTTAGCACGCTAACCTATTTCAAATGCACCGGAGGTCAACTTATACTGGTAACATAATGGTGCAAAGTAATAACTTCAACTTCAACTTTTGGTTAATGGCTTTGTGGTAGAGTGTAACCACAATTTCGCCAATGTCATGTATTTGAAAGACAAACTGTCAAAGGATTTTATGTAGAGCTGTGGTAGAGCCAAAAAAAAATTTTGAGAATGAAAGAATAAGAATGAATAAATTGTTATCTTTTACAGGCATGATAAAACTTAAACTAGTAAAATATATATTCAGCTAATAATATATATACATATACAAAATAAAAATAACCAGTAAAACAAAAACAAATATTACACTGTGATATTGAAACTATAATTTAATTTTGTTTAAAGTTATACACTTACCTAGAACATATACAAAAGGAGTAAAAACGCGAGATAAGAGTAATTTAAGGGACGTGGGATGAGGAATAAGAGGAGGAATGAATTCATAAATAGGAAACTTAGTTCTAGGACAATTAAAAAATATATGGTTCGCGTTTCCCTCATCAAGCCCACACTCACAAATAGAGCTATCCCTAATTCTGAGTTTTGCTAAAAATACTGGAGTGCATGAGTGATTAAGTCTTAACCGACAAATTATAGAAGTGGTGTTTTTATTTAATTTTTTAAATTTAGCAAACCACGGCTTAAGTGGAATTTCTGGTTGTATATCGCCGTAAAATTGGCCTTTCACAGTTTTCGACACGCGCCACAGCCTGGACCACGAATCAAATAGCTGAGATTTAAGGGATGAAGAAATATCGTAAGAGTATATTTCTGTATGGTCATGAGACTGTATAAACAGCATTTTTTGCACATGAATCTGCAGTCTCATTTCCTGGAATTCCTGCGTGTCCAGGAATCCAGGCTAAGACAATGTTTATGTTCAGTTTTTGACATTGAAATAAAAGATGTCTAATATTAAGGATAATAGGACTATTGGAATTTGATCGGAATGGGTTTGATAGAATAGATTGAAGGCAGCTTTTGGAATCCGAAAAAATTATACTATTGTTTAAATTATGGGATTTTATAAAGGAAATAGCTTCTAAGACTGCTATAGACTCACCAGTGAAGACAGAACAAGTAGCGGGCCATTTATAATTTAGAATTATGCTAGTAGAAGGAATCCAGACAGCAGCACCAACTGGGCCATTTGATGAGATTTTGGAAGCGTCTGTAAAAATTAGGCGCCAATTATTATAATTGGAGGTAATTTTATTAGTGAATAGACTTTTCGCTTCTATTGAGCACTTGTTGATTCCCAAGTCCAGAATGACATTTGGTTGGAATACTAACGCTTCGTATGGCGTACAAAAAAGAGGTAAGGTGGAGTTTTGGAATAAAGGATTGATGAGACGGGTGAATTGCTGGTAAGCAAGAAGAAGGCAGGGGGTAGTTTTATTAGAACGTGAATCAAGATTATTCAATAAGTTAGATAGCTGATCTAGTTTGGGAAGGAGCGGATGGTCAGCATTTTGGATAAGTTTAAAAAAGAATCTGTTGGCAAGAAATTGTCTACGAAGAAACAGAGGAGGATCACCACATTCAACCTGCATAGCGTTGATAGGGGAGGATTTCATCGCTCCGAGAATAATGCGGAGACATTTAGACTGAATTTTGTCGAGTTTTTGGAGACCAGATTTATTTATGGGCTCTAAAACAAATAAGCCGTAATCCAGGTGACTGCGGACTATAGCGTTGTATAGAAGTTTTTGGGAAAAAGGGTGGGAACCCCACCAAACTCCAGAAAGGGAGCGATGAACATTAATGTTTTTTTCACACTTCTTTACAACATAATCAGTATGAGACACACCTGTCAGTCTGGAATCCAACCACACCCCAAGGAATGTAACTTTATCATACTGCGGAATGACTTTACCAAGGACTGAGATGCCAACTTGGGGAATCATTTGCTTTTTGGTAAAAATTACGACCGAACTCTTTGAGGCCGATAAAGAAAGACCATGGCGAAATAACCACGACGATAATAAACTGAGCGCACTTGACAAATTATCAATAATTGCCTCAATAGATTTATTAGGAAAATACAAAACTAGATCGTCAGCGTATTGGAGAATTTGAGCATAAGGACCTATCGACAACTCTAAGTCATATGTATAAAGGATTTACAGAAGAGGACTTAGAACCGAGCCTTGAGGTAAGCCCTTCCATATCATCCTGGGTGATAGCGAGTAGTCCTCACTTTTGATTGTGATGGATCTTTCCGAGAATAAGCTACAAATAAAACAGACCAATTTTTCGGGAATTCCAAGTTGGTAAATCAGTTTATTTTTGAGGATTGGAATCAGGACGTTGTCATACGCTGACGTTATATCAAGAAAAACTCCACCTAAGTATTCCTTATTAAGAAAAGAGATTCGGATATCAGTCGTTAATAAGCTGAGACTATCCATTGTGCTTCTACCTTTTCTAAACCCATATTGAGGTTTCCCTAACAATTTCCTGTTTTCTACGAACCATTCAAGGCGATGTTTTATCATATGCTCTGTGACCTTACATAAAACAGAAGACAACGCTATAGGTCTGTAACTATCTGGGTCTTGCGGGCACCTACCGGGTTTGAGAATCGGGATAACAATTTGATTTCGCCAAGGCTGGGGAACAGAATCGTGCTCATAAAAACTGTTTACTAAATTTAGAAAATATTCTTTACTTTTATCAGAAGCATGTTTTAAAAAAGAGTAAGGGATTCCATCCATTCCAGGAGAGGAATCCCTTAAACCGTCCAGTGCCAGTTGAAGCTCAGGAAATGAAAAAACGCGGTCAAAACTATTTAGAGGTGATATACGGGGTGACAACGAAGGAAAGCAATCTAAGTTTGGGACGGAAGGAGGAGCCAGCTTATCAGAAAAAGCTTCAAGCCAGGATGAGGGATCATTGGACGAAATATCAGTGGAATTACAAGATCCTCTAAACCGTTTAATTTGCTTCCAAACCAAAGTAGAAAGATTCTCACAAAATCGAAGCCAACCTTCTTTCTTTTTTTTTGTAAAGATTCTTCTCGCATGTGCAGCCTTTCTTTGGTAGTTCACAAAATTTGGAATCGTCACAAAGTAATAACAATTAAGCACCCGTTGATGTCATTTTGAAATGTCCCTTTCACTCATTACGTACACTACAATAGTTGTCTTTGTCTAAAAACAGCACGTGTATCGATAGTGTTGGATTTATAAGTCGATATTTGTTGGTCATCGTTTGAACTTTGTTTACTGAAGTCATTTTATTTTTAAAAAAAATAGTGGCGTATCATTCTGCTATATGTAATAGGTTTCCTAAATGCCCCGAAAGGAAAAAGATAAGATGTGGATCGATGTAACTAGTAGAGGGGACGATTGATTTCCCGCCAATAAAGTGTGATGTGTTCAAGACACTGCACAGAAGATAATTTTCATTATATGAAAAACCGTAGAAAACTGTTGGATTATGCTTGACCATCTCTAGACTTGCCAGTTTTGGTATGGAATTTTAATTTATTTTTGAAAGATTTGTACCAATGTAGATTACACAATAATAGCAGTAAGTGATTGAGTGAAACATAATACGTCGAAATTAACCTCTTTTTAACGGATTTATAAATCATAAAACATGTCAAATTTCGATGAAATGTGATTATTGTTTCGACTTGCTATTTTAGTATAAGGTGAACTTCAATAATATCTTATTACTATTACATCTAAATTATAAATTACAAGTAAACATTGAGGAAAATATTTATTTATCAATAACCAACAAACCGAAAATAAAATTAATATCAATAATTCAGATCATCCAACCAAATTCATCGATCAACGTTCCAACCCTGTCCCATCATTATGGTTAGGTGCATTCCAAGTAATATCCAATCACAGCGCATTTGACACGTCCCCTGCAATCCTTGCAGACCACCAAATTTTGTGAACTCGAATTAGTACAAATATTCGATAATACGGTATCTATTAGGGGGTAAGCTGTGAGCAGACCCCGACCTAATTTGAGATAAAAATTATCTTGTTAAGTTGCATGTGTTTGAAATTTAACAGTGTGATATTGTTAGAGGTCAAATAATTTTCATGGAGATAAAAGACGGTATGATATAGTGCATAAATATTTTTTACTAACATTCCACATTACATACATATCCGACAACAAACTTAAATTAAGTACGCTTAAATATGCTTCGCATTTACTTAAACTAGACCTGAGAAGAAATCAGATGCATTTTTCAAGCTACTTGATGGCAAGTTATTACTTAGATCTTTTCTTTTATTATGTTTTTGGCTAACATCTATAATAGATTCAATTGATTCAAAATATGATATGTTCCAAAATTTAACATCATTATCATGTGAGCATGACGCAATATACTGCCCATCGTGACTTATGTCAAGACGTTCAACAGGTAATCTGTGTTGGCCTACTACACCCAGTTGACGCTGAGGGAACATGTGAGCTGCCCTTAATATGCCATCTTCACCTGATGTCACTACAATATTCTGAGTGATGGGTACCATACACTGAATAGCATGTTTCTGACCTACATATTCATCACTGTGTAATCCAAATTCTTTCCAGTTAAATAAATATAATTTTCCTGTTGACGCTGCTACAAGAAGTTTTGTATCCGATCTGAACAGGCCCATGCAGGTTAATTCTGCATCATATTCTTCTGATGTTGTGTAAATTTTACTGCAACGTAATTTAGTTATTAATCAAATTTGTTACGATTTACTTCAATAATTATAACAATAGGGAATATGCAAATCCTTTGTTTTAATTTACTATCATTTTCGAGCGACTAAACGCGGGCATTTTGGCGCGCTTATTCTGTGACGTCAGATTACAATGTCAACAACGAAGTGTTTGGTTCACAAAGTTACTACAAGTAAAAAAAGTGAGTGATACAATCAACGTATTACCATAGAAAAGTTTACTTTAAATATTGTGTCGTTCCTACGTGCAAAAATAACATCAAAACTGCACCTGACAAGTGACAAAGTATATTTCCTTATGCCGAAAGATGCAGGTACCTATAAGGAAAAAGTGGTGCAAGGCGATGAAGTCTATTTTGAAAACATGTTACTTATTAGAGTAAGAGGGAAGTTCGAAACTATTTTTACTCTTTGAAAAGAATACAGAAAATTATCTGTAATAAACAATTTATGGTCATCATAAAGACGTCTATTTTAGAAAGATTATCTGATCAGCCATTGTGTTAAGTTTTTCTTTGAAATAATATTTATTTCTGCAAGATCTATGGCTTAACTCGTCAATAACCAGGATGGCCAAGTCTTACAACGAACTTTCTCGTTTGATAGATTTAGTCATTTTTGGAGATAGTTTGCCTAATTTTAATAGAAAAATCGCGGACTATCTTGAGTCTAAGTTGGGGGTGCAAAAAGTGCACCTATATATGGGATTTGAATTGTCCGTGAAATGTGGTTCTTGATGCAAAATCACTTTCTCATTTTCTTTTTTTACCTAACGGTTTTCATTTCCTTTAATTTTTTTTTATTCTTATGCCTTATTTTTTTATTCTAGAATGGTACAAGTTTTACTTATGTTAGTCGTGATTGTCTATAACTGAATGAGCACAAGGCATGTTTTTGTATATTTTTTAATTATTGTAGAAATGTGTGGCGTTTGTGATCCAAATGAATAAAAAAAAGTAGGTAAGTCTCTTCAGATATTTTTACAAGTCAAACTTTACAGCTAGAAGGTTTTCGGCAGGCATTTCCTAAGACTCGCTCTGGGAAGAAACGCCGAAACAAACCACAGAGGTGTCTTTTTTTTTAAGTCCGTGTACAATGTTAAAGAGAACTATGTAAGTGCAGTATAGGGTCCAGGTTGGCCTTATGAAGAAACGACCATAGTATTGAGTCGGCCCGTCCATACAGCCGGCGTATGAGCCCCAGCCAGCCTAACCGATATAGTCGCGATCAACAACCCGGAACATGACACTACCACCTGCAGGACACTTGAGTGAGCCGTGGAAACACTCAAAACCACCACAAAGTTCCTAAAACATGAACTAACATGACAAGCCTACGCTATGCTCACATTTACATACTTACACACAAAAAACTATACAATTAACCGCGCGCCGTCTCAGGTACCAGTAGTCGAGGAACCAGGTGTACCCTAGAAAGGAAATCCCTGGTGCCCCGACGTACCTCGGGCCATCTACGGCGGGTAGACGACCCCCTGTGTGGGGAATCCCCATGTTCCCTCTGTGCTCCCGGAAGAACGCGGCGCTTCGCAACGCGCTCGCCGCCACCCCGGCCTGCTTCTGATAGGGTGACAGATAGCCTCACCTGTTACCCCCAGGCCTGCGCTTATGGAGGACGGAGGTCGTTCTGCGACCTCCGGCGCCTGAGTCGTCTGCGGTACCTGGCCCGTTCCCGAGCCTGGCGGGCCACGGAGAGTTCTAAACCTCTCCCGGTCCCGCTCCGCCATTTCCTTCGCAAGCATAACTTGCTCGCAGAAGGAGACGGTAAAGTTCCACGCACTATCGCTCCGCACGATAGCCGCAATCAGGTTATCGAGCGAGAGAACTCCCACTCCGATGGCCGCCACGAGCTCTTGCCTCTGCTCCACCCACGCCGGGCATTCTGCCAGCGTGTGGAGCGCCGTGTCCACGGTCCGACCATCTCAGTGGTGGCACTCAGGCGTTGGCTCCCTACGGATAAGACACAGGTGATCCCCGAAACATCCTTTCCCAGTGATCACCTGCGTCGGTCGGTATGAGATGGTCCCGTGATGCCTCTCGAGCCAATCCTCCATAACGGGTCTTACCGCCGCGATGACGGCGTGCCCGAGAGTCGCACACCCTGACATCGAAGACTTGCTTACTTTGTGTAGTCTAGTCGTTCGCAACACGAGTTTATTTCTAGTGTTCATATTATGAATGTCGCTTTGTGAACAAATGAATATTTTCTTAACACACATTAAATTTTCATGTATATACTGAGAAGATACTCTGAATGTCAGCAGCAGTCAGCAACAAAATAGCTAAAATACACTAGTCTGGCTGTTTCTACATCGGTTAATTGAAGAATTTTATAAACCGCGTATGCTGCAGAGCTGAATCTATTTGACAATCCATCAATGTGTACACAAAAACTTAGTGGTGTCCACAAGATCCAACTCCTTTCCATTTATGAGAACACTAGTTCACACTTTATAAGTATTTTATACTTTAACACAGAAAACTAATACATTGAAATGTAACCACCGCGAAACAATTCAAAATAAAAAATCACCAGAAACCATACAAACAACTTGTTGACAGAAGACGTCGAGTGTAAATTGACGTCACATTTTGTTTCACCACATAGCGTTACGTTTTGAAAATTTGCGAGGGAATTATCACTATTAAATTATTATTAATTTCAAAAATAATTGTAAACGTTTGTTTTTCAGCAGTAAAGTTGGCAAATAAAAATATTTGACCATTTTGGAGTCACATGCATATTCCCTATTTACATAAAATCTTTGAAGCATCTTACCTTCCCTTCAAATCAATTGTTGTAAGAATACCATCCCCAGCAGCACAAACTAAGTACTTCTGCGCATCGTTTGTAATCATATCAGAAACATGTTCATCCCCAATGTTTATAGAAAAAACTGGTTCGGGTTTTCTCATGTCCCATAATTTGACAGTTCCACCATCATCACCTTGAATAAAATAATTATAATTTATCAAATATAAAGAAATTGCACATACAGGCTTATAAAACTCATGACTACATGCAATTGTTTTAAAAATATGTAAAGTACGATAGTAGAGTATCCTACTAAATTAGAATTTGTCAATTAATAAAGTCGTATGCATGTTAACTTGTGTCATTTAATCTGTTTACGTAATACAGTTTTAGCGAGTTGCATGTGAGAAGGCAAATTATGCATGTGTCTAATGGTTAAGCAAACGCGGGAATCGTGTGTTAAATGTTGCATTCTACTGCCTGGTGAAAGATGCCTTCCTTCCAGAAGAAAGACACAAAGGCCATCGATGTTATGCTGACGGATGAATGCTACACGCAATACATCACCACAACAACAACTTGAGATCCCAGAGGTTATGAAACAGGCTGGATTCTGTGTACCAGTCTCGAGCCTCTCTTCTCAAATGTTTCGAATATGGCGGGTTGTCCGCTGAAGGTTACAAATATATAAAAGGTAAAGGAGGCTGCACGCCCAGAACCGCTACTAAAGGCGTGTTCATCACAGCCATCCCTTTGAATACCTTTATATTATATGCTTCGGTAAATAGATTTGACTTAAATATACTTATAGGAGGATCTACTTGTGAGGAAATTTGGAACATACGAGGGGTGATCAATAAGTAATGATAATCAATATGAAACAAAACTATTAGATTAAAAAAAGTATTTTATTTTTCAACATAGTCTCCTTGCAAGTTAATACATTTAGTGTATCTTTTTTCTAAGCCCATGATTCCCTTAGAAAAAAATTCTTTGTCTTGACCCTCCCAAAATGCCTCTACTGCGGCCATCACTTCACAATTGTCCTCAAATTTGTTGCCCCGGAGGTGTTCTTTGAGCCGAGGAAAGAGGTAGAAGTCACTGGGAGCTAGATCTGGCGAATAGGGAGGGTGTTCGAGCAGTTCGAACCCCGTTTCTTCAATGGCAGCCATCGCAACTGCGGCTTTGTGAGCCGGGGCGTTGTCTTGGTGAAACAGCACTCCAGCGCGCAGTTTACCGCGTCTTTTTGACTTAATAGCTTCTCGCAATCTTCTTATTTGGCCTGCGTAGTAAAAGCCTGTTATAGTGGCCCCCTTTTCCAAATATTCCACCATAATAATTCCTTCTGCATCCCAGAAAACAGACGCCATAACCTTTCCCGCTGAACTTGACACTTTGAATTTCTTCGGCGTTGGTGAGGAAGCTCGTTTCCAAGTCATTGATTGTTGTTTGGTTTCGTGATCAAAGTGGTGGATCCAGGTCTCGTCCATGGTCACAAAACGCGACAAAAAAAATTCTTTATCGGCCTGGAACTTTTGAAGATTCACCCTCGAAATGTCGACTCGTTTCTTTTTTTGCTCGTCGGTTAACATTCTCGGTACCCAACGCGCAGAGACCTTTTTCATATGCATTTTGTTGACAATGATTTTTTGAACGCTGCCATAGGAGATCCCTGTGACCTCAGCTACATGCCTTACGGTCACCCTTCGATCGGCCAACACGATATCTTCCACTTTTTTGACGTTTTCTCCAGTAAGGGACGTGGAAGGGCGTCCCTCGCGATGTTCATCTTCAGTGGAGGGTCTGCCCAGCTTAAATTCCTTTGCCCAGCGTGCGACTGTGGAATATGGAGGAGCAGACTCCCCCCAATGTTTCCTCTAAGTCGCTGTGTATGTCTTTGGTAGACATTTTTTTCAGGCAGAGGTACTTGATGACAGCTCTTATTTCATTTTTCTCCATTTTGATGTTTTCTCTTCGACAATTCGTATTCAAATGAATGTATCTCCCGGTAATGGTGTCCTATTTATACATTTTTTTGAAGCTGAAGTAGTGGATATATAAGCAAGCAGAAAAATAATAATTTGGGTTTTTGTGCGTTCTAGAAATACTCGATTATCATTACTTATTGATCACCCCTCGTACTACATCAATATTTAGTATAAATTTATACTAAATGTTCGTATAAACCTGTCATAAAAAAAGTACAGTATCTACGAAGTTATTAGCTATTCTTTAATTTCCTAACAATTTTTTTTGTAGGGTAGGGTAGGGTGTCCATGAATAACTTATATAAAAGGTATTTTTTGTTTCGTAAAAACAAATCTATTTCATTTTATCTAATTATTGTATGGGGTCATTCTAAATTAATTTCGTTACCTATCTCTTCTCAATCATATTTTTTTTTAGAAAATTGATATTCATTAACGTTGAAATTGACTTGTTTGCACATATTAGCTTACTGACGTTTCGGAAACAAATATTTTTTAGGTACTTGTCCGAATCAACACTTTTAATTTTAATATTTTTTTCACTAATAATTTGACAACACCCAAAAATGCAATTTTGTACAGTCAGATAATAAACATGGTTTTCTATCTTTACATAGTATAAAATGAAGTCACTCTTTTTCTTGGACGTTTAGATCTTTCAAACTACGCAAAAGATTTTAATGCAGTTTTCACCTATAGAGAGAGTAATTCAAGAGGCGGGTTTATATGCATACAACAGAAGAGGAAATGCGAGAATTCGTGAATGTATATTTTTGTCCACAATTTATATCTGAATTCAAAAGAATTCTTGGAAAACTACCGTTATGGTCAAATCTCAATCATTTTTAAAAATTGATAATACTGCTCCATCATCGTCAGGAATTGAGACCTACTTCAAAACTTTGAAACAATTGCTTTTCAAAACAAAACTGCAGAAATACCGAGTCGATGAATTTGTAAAAATACATTCTGATTACCTAAATACGGAAATTGCACTTGCTACAAGTGATCTTGTTAGTGATATACAGTATAAAGAAGCTAAACGCTCTCGAAAAAGGAAGTATAAAAAATCAAAAAACAAAAGTATAAGTATACAAAATCTCAAACGCAGGAGAAAAAAAAGAAAATTATCGAAGTCTTTAAATTTAATGAAAATTAATCGGTCATTTGCTGTTTAATCAATATTTTCTGATCATCATGTTCATTTGTCGAAAATTGGGGGGGGGGTGAAGCCGACACTAAAAATGGCAATCTATGCGATTCTGTACCTGTCAGCAAAAGTTCTATTAAAGTGAGTTTGAAAAATACATGTTGCTTTGATTCAGTCATGCATTTCTTAAGTATGGGATATATTCAAAGTAGTAGTTTTGAAGAAACATTGAACAGATCCTGTTGCTAATGACTGTGATATATACAGAATGCGGTCCGAAATCGGTGTGCTGTATTTTGAAACAAAAGAAAGCCTCTGTGAATTTCCTTGTAATGTGTCCTTCATTTTTGAACATATAGCTTTAAAATATTGTTTTAGTGCAATTTTCAGTAAAAAGTGTATCTACTAATAATTCATGCCAATTTAGCCCAATATCTAGACAGATCGCATTTTTACATTTAAACCTGAATATAATTTCTGTATTCGGGATCCAAAGTTTAGAAGATGCAATTTGTATTGCAGAAGAAAAAAAAAATGTTTGTACATTTTGTGACCTCCAAACAGTGTGCAAATATACGCTATCAATACAATTTCATTTGAAATAAATCTTTGTACGAAGTTTCGGGTAAGCGAGATACCAGAATCTACAATGATTTCAGGTAGATCATACATATTAATAGGTGTTACAGAATACATCCCTGCAATTAGCGGCGCTGGCATTAATTCATTGTATCACTTATGTCCAACCTGATTAATTGTATTTCGATATTGTCGATTTGTTAAAAATTATTTTTTAAAAACCTGTCCTCCTGATTTCATTTAACATGGTCACCCTAAATGGCGAATTTATAAGGAATATCAAAAAGTAATTTATTTTTCAGATACCGAATATGTATAACGTTGATCTGTACATATTTATTAAGTAGACATTTATACTAAATGTTAGTGTCTTTAGTTTTTATTTCTGTTGTGATATCAGGTAGGTACAATCCATTATTTATTATGCAGAACGTCAGGATTGAGGAGCCAAATAAAATGCGTTTATTTACAAAATTCACTCAGTTTTACTACTTTCTCCTGTTACTACAAATTCAAACCCACTTGCTACTAAATGTTTTTGGAATAGAATATAAATTTTGACTTTTTACTTTCATGGCAATTCACACTCATAAATATAGATTGAGGAGCCACATTAAAAGTGTTGTATAGTCTTGAATATCAATAGTACTGTATTCAGATTTTTAGTAGGCACAACACAATTACTACTAAATGATACAAAGTTTTCAAAAATATTCATTAAATACTTTTCATGTTCCTGGTGGCTCCTCAATTCAAATGTTTAGATTCAGGAGCCACTTTTACATTGACGTAACTTTGGATATATCTTACTACAAATTTCAGGATTTGTCCTTCAAAATTATTTTCTCACCTACTAAATGAGGGGGCAGTTTCCGTTTAAAATTCGTTTAAATTCTAAAATGGCTCGTCAATTCATACGTACACGTTCTAAGTATCCGTTTTATGTATGTTTGTAAAGTCCACCGCGACACAAGATACATTCCTAATGCGGTAGTTGTAAAATAAAAGTTTCAGTTTCAATTTCGAAGATTCTCACATCGGAGTCCAAGTGATGAGTGCAGTAGTTGGACGCCCCGAATATTAGGGAGGGAGAAAAGGTGTTGGCATTCCTCCTTTACTAAAAATTCCGAAACTGACTACACTTTAATAAACTCACCATTTCTCAAGATCATTACTGTAGGTGAACTATCTGAGAAAAAGCCTACTAAGTTATAAAAAGAAAAGCCTTACAGCCTAAACTTAAAATAGACAGATACTGTTCTCTTTTTTTATCTAATAGTAAACAAGCAAACAGGTCACCTGACGGTAAGTGACTACTGCCACCCGTAATGGCTAGAAATCAAGAGATACTCTCTCCTTCCTGCAATTAGAAAGGGACGTTACGCCACTAGTAACCTCGATCATTCGGTGAAAAGCAACAAAAAAACAGCTTAACACCTGTGAGGCTGTGTAACCGGGGTGATATGTGATATGTACTTCCAAGTAGGTCAGGGGGCATGTCTTATTTCATTTGAATGTTCTGAGTAACATAAAAATTAAAACTTTGAAAATATTTCAAAGACGGAGGTCGTGGGTTCGATATTGTATGATGGGCTGGTCATTTGTTGTGTCTTGGGTGTAAATATACATGTGTATGTATTTAAAATTCATAAGTATGTTTATCAGCAGTCTGGTTACCATAGTACAGGCTCTGCCTAGTTTGGGATCAGACTGCCATGTGTGAGATGTGGGAAGTTATTATTATTATTTTAGTATGGCAATAATAGTAGTTGGACAAAGGACTTGTCCAGGAAGGAAGTCTGACGAGGCCATGGTATGGAGCGAGAGTTTGTGGAACTGAGCCGCCTCCTTCTGCGAGCAAGTTATGCTTGCAAAGGAGATGGCGGAGAGGACCGGGAGAGGTTCAGGACTCTCCCTGCCCGCCCGGTCCGGCAACGGGCGAGGTACCGCAGACGACTCAGGCGTCGGAGGTCGCAGAAGGACCTCCGTCCTCCATAAGCGCAGGCAGGGGTGGTAGGTGAGGCCATCTTTCACTCCAGCAGAAGCAGGCCCGGGTGGTGCCGAGACGCGCGCGCCCTTTAGGAAGCACAAAGGGGACATAGGGATTCCCACACAGGACGGGGTCATTTACACGCCGTGGAATGCCCGAGGTACGTCCTACCCGGCAACTGGTACCCAAGACGGCGTGCGGTTTTAGGTCGGTTCGAGTCCGACATAACCACCGGTGGGTGGTATCCGAGGGGTTTACCGCACAGAAAAAAAGGTGTAAAAACTACGTTTTTTAGGAGCTGAGTAAGTTTTGAATTTACAGCTTTTCATTAAAGAGTATAAATTTTGGCAAAATAAAAATTCTAGTATTCCGTATTAACCCCTCATATTCCCCAGCCAACCACAGAGCTCGACTAGGAAGAGATAGAGACTATCTAGCATCCATCTCTCTTGTTGCCTTAATCGCAAAATTGGGGCTCTTGTTCACTTGATGCTTATATCTTTATGACAAAATGAGTATCTAAGGCAAATAAGAAGGAAAGTAAAGAAAGAAGTGCTCTTTTAAAAGGTTTGTGCATGCCAATCACCAAAATTCTGAATTCAATGGTGACAAAAATATAAAATGCAGAATTTCAGGCACTTAAGGATGCCAAGCAAGTACAACAAACCTGACTCAGTTTTAGGAACCTTTAATTTATATTAGAAGGCTGCAGTTCGCCTTTGCCAGTCAGGTATAATCCAATTTCAGCAGTTGCTCACACTTGTGTGTGTATAATTACCTAATAAATAACTATGTAGGTACTTTAATTTGTTATTGTTCATCATTTCTGGCTTTTCTATTCTACTGGCATTAGGATGATGATGACAGACATGACTAGAGAAGATATTTTTGTTTTTCAGTGTCTGTTAAACTGTGGACATGTAAGTAAGAAATTGTTATTAGGGTGGTGTCAATGAATTGCTACCAGAGTTATATTTTTTATTTCAGTGAACCTGGAATATATCTTTCCAATGAGTTAGTAGTACCTAATTATAATCTCATTTATCTTTTACTCAATATAGAATTAGTTGCAACAAAATAAAAATGAAGGTTCAGTGCCTTCATTCTTCATATTGTTATGAGCGAGAATATTATACAGGTTTTTTTAAAATAAATAATAACATTGCATGTTATTTGACAAATCATTTGATCACAACTGAATATAAGAACAATAATTTATAAAGCTAACTGCCTGACATTTTACGAATTTGATGAAGAATTTGAATTGGAGCCTAATATGATGATTGGTCTTACTCCCAGTACACCTACTAGTGATAAGGTAGTTAATTTGACAATTGTGATTATATTTTATTTTATAAATTAGGTTTAATAAAAGTTCTCAAATAGGATTAAAACATAGTTAATGTGAAACATAATAGTTTATGTTTTATATTATCATCTTAACTATGTTGGAATTCTATTTATAACAATAATAAATATATTGGCAAAGTCTTCAGACACAAAGGTTTTTTTGTATAAATTAGTAAATGTTGTTGTTTTAAAAGTTGTTACCTAAATAATATTACATATTAATATTTATAAAGAAAATAACTTTGTAATAAGGGGGATAAAAATAGCAGTATGTACATAAAATTGTATAATTTACAAAAATAATATTAAAAAGCCACACAAAACCATTTGTCATCATCATCATAAATAATAATAAATTTATTTTAATAATTATTTTGCATTTGGCATACTAGTTGTCCTGTATACTTAAATGTTATTGAGGAAAAGCAAAACAACAAATATAAAATAGGTTATAGGACTTCTTTTCCTAAAGTAAGCAGAAAATCTATCTGCATCTGAGGAAATAGTAGAACACACTACATAATGGTAAGTATTATCATTACTTTTCTTGTATAGGTATTTTGTTGTTGTTTGTTTACTTAAACTTTTAGTTTAACTCTTTGTCAATAGTACAAATTTGTCCTTGTCAACTGCGTGTTGAGCGCTCCACAAATACAACCAAGGTTTTTTTGACTCATATTGACTGAATTAAACGTCCAAACAGTTAGGATGGCAAATGTATACAAATCTTCTTCTTCGCAGAAACAGATTTCTTAAAGACTACTACAGATAAATTGTCAAACTTGATGTTTGTATATTTATCACTAGAATATGTAAATACCGATTTTCACTGTTTTCAACTTTCGATGGCAACTCTGTATCATTACATTACAGTCAACTTTGGATGTCTATAATTTGACTATGAGAATACCATTTTTGACATTGATGATATCGAGAGTAGATCGGAACCGAATTAAGACTGAACTTTTATTACGAGAATTGGCCTTCTGCTGTGTGCTGGAGTAACTGCAGCGTTGCCAAGTAGATTGGCGACATATCCAAGTGATGAGATGTCTCTACGAAGCCGCCACAATGTCCGTCCTAGTACAGAATTAGCAAACAAGGCCCATTCTGTTGCATAGAGAAGTGAGACGATGGGACGTTATTGCCCCGAAATGCAATGGATGCAATGGAGGATGTTCATGTTCAAGACGCTACACTGGAAAAGTCATGACATCAATATCAATGGCGAATTGCAGACGACATCGTCATCATGGTAGAGACGCTGCAGGACCTACAACAGATACTAAATTTGGCGAAATTGTGGTTACACTCTACCACAAAGTCATTAACCAAAAGTTGAAGTTGACCTGGCTGATTCTTCTATACACATCGGCCTACGGATGAACTTGGATAAAACCAAGGTCATGGTCAATAAACATGTACTACCGGAACCGATTGCGGTACACGGTGTCGCTCCCGAAGTTGTTCAAAAGTACCACTGCACTTCGGTAGAAACAACTTCGAGGACGAGGTGAATGGAAAAATTCAGTTGTGCTGTCTTTAAGTTACGTCGCGTCTTCTCATCGTCGATCCCACAGTGCCTAAAGAAAAAGTCTTCAATCAGCGTCCTACCAGACATAGTCATGACATACGGAGCCGAATCGTGGACACTTACGGTACGTCTGGTCCACAAGCTTAAAGTCGACGAGCGTGCTATGGAAAGAGATATGCTCGGTGTTTCTCTGAGGGATCAAGAAACAACGTCATCGATATAGCCCACCGGATTAGCAACCAACAAGCAACAAGTGGCAGTTGAGCCATCATCGATTTTACTCAGAATAAAAAACCAACAACCATACAAAAAGTTGACAACTCCTTTAAACAAATAACAAAAAGTATGGGTATATAAGTGGGTACCGTACATTGGAAAATATTAACTTCATTTACTTTTAACTTTATTTACCTTCGCTGTAAGCAAAACTCAATCAAATTTTGGGGATGATAGCTGCTAGACTTGACTCTACCTATATGAACAACTGTTTCAAGGTTCTTATAGAGAGAAGAAGCTAGAAGTAAGTTGTGTTTTTGTATTTTATTTTAGTATTTTATATCTTTGTTTTTTTTTCAACTCTTTTGAAATTGTAAATGTGGAATAGTTTGTAATGGTCTAAGATACCTAAATAAAGATTATTACTATGATTATTATTAAGACACCAGTAGCAGCAGGTCTGTTAATACAAATTTTCCAGTGAAATTAAAACAACAATAAACAACATGTTTGTAGCCATATTTGTAGATGAAAAAAATCTGTGTGTTTTATTTGGCACTGGAAAGTTTTTATAAACTTGGACCACATGTACCACATATTTACCTCAGAGAAGGTGTTAAATTAGTCATAAAAGCAAGTTTGAAAAATGTATGTGTGAAAATGGCTTCTTATAATAAATATTACATTACCTGTTACAATTTTGTCTTTGTCCAAAGTAATCAGTCTGTAAACAGGTTCTTCATGTGCATCTTCATAGCACCTTTTTAATTTACCTGTCTCTACATCTGTTGCCATTATTACTTTATCCTAAAAAAAATATAAAACAAATAAGAATAGTTATTCAGTAATTTAAACTTGTATGTATGCATATATTTTCACTATCAATATCTTAACTATATCTTTATTTATAATATATACAAATGAAGAAACATGTTATAAGGAACTTTAGAAAGTTGTTGCATGCAAAATGTTGCTAACATTTATTTATTTAGGTAGACAAAAGTTTCATACTTTGGCTGTTGAAAATAGGGTTGTTCCTTCATCATCAAACTCAACATCTCTGCAAGCTTTTAAATGTAATTCCAATGAATTCACTAGTTTTGTCTCATCGTTATTATATTCATACAATAAAACATCTCCCACTATATTAGCTATCGCGATTAAATTCTTGGCTGGATGAAGGGAGATATCTACTATGAAATCTTCGCATATTATTGCTGGAGGGTGATCACGTGGTTTTGTTTTTTCAGCCTTAATGGCTTTAACAACTTCGTCTTCTTCATCGTCTTCCTCTTCAGTTTTACTTCCACTTGGTTCATTTAAAACTTCATCTTCACTCATCTCATTTTCAGCTTCATCTGCAATTTAATTATCATAAAAATAACAAGGGACAGCATGAGACAATATTATAACCATAATAATAAGCACCGCTGTTATCTGAAAAACCAAATTGGCTCGAGCGGTAACTTGATTCACTATCGTCGTCCGTAGCATTGTTATCATTCTCTTTAAAACTGTTCGTCATATTCTTAGATTTAAATCCTATTAACCAAAAATTAATATGCTTTGCAAAAGAACAAAAATACAGGTTTACAGATTAAATGACAAATTGACAACTATGTCGTTTGATTTTTTTTTTTTAATTTTATTCATGACCTTTGATACAAGTCTTTCAGTCGAAAACATAGATGGATTTAAAATGTCGTTTGAAGATGAACAGTATTGCCAGATATGGGCCTGTAAAAGGTGCTACAAAAATTACATCTTGTTGGCAATTTTGTTTATCTGTAGCTCAGCACTTTTGCAACTATACGCTTGCTGCAATTTTTGATGTGCAATAAATAGCCGAATGTAGTCCATCAAGATTCTGTAAACGTTTATAGCCGAGACTATAGATGTATGGGGGTATGTGACTATCCCCCGCATAATTAGCAGTAATAAATAATAAAAAATAATATATTTCCTCAAATAAATAACATAATAGCTAGTCATCAAAATTTCCGTCTTTTTTTTCCAAACATCTCATAGTAACTGTCCGAGTTTGCGCGCGTCTGCACGATGTAATGCGCAGAGAAACTGGCTGTCTGTATGTCACCACAATAATCCCCCGGGCAGACCGTGACTATGGGCGGTAGAAGTTTGGAAAGCGCATCCTTCTGCCATTGGTAGTATTCTTGACTACTGATCGTTGCAAAGTTGGATCTGTACTATTATTTTTTTTTGTGGCTCAATAGGTGATGGGTGTGTTTGCGGGTAGATATCTTCTTGTTCTAATTCTAACCTAACTTCTTTAATTAGCTCCAATTTTTCATTAGCAAGCATTCTATTTCTGATGATAACTCGTCTTTGGTCTGAAACTCGTTGTACTGAAACTATAATGTGTGGGTACTGTCTTAAAAAGTGTTCATGTAATAATTTTGTATATGGTCATATCTGTTTCTAATTTAGTAATGCGGTAATAGGTACGCATGATGAATAAGTTTACATCTTCTGTCCATCTCATGTGTACACGTGGTTTACCAGTCTTAGTGGACGCAGGTAAAAGGGTATTCACCCCCTGCGCAACATCTAAGGCAGGTGTGGTTATAGGTGTAGGGGTTCTAGTAGAAACTTCTGATGGAGTATATGACAAAGTTAATGGGCTATAAGGTTATTCTTTTGAGGAACATGGTGAGCTAATCCTGTCTACGTCGTGAGTCTGTTGGTCAGAATTCAGGTTGGCTGTAGCATTTTCGAGTGACTCGGAGGGAGCCCGCCTACTCAACTATTCTCCGCCGATGGTTCGTATGCTGTCACACCCAGCATCAGCTTCAGGTGCGCCCCGGCTATCACCCCCGAGCAACGGCCCTAATACGTTTACTTTTTATTTCACTTTGCATTTCACCAAGTGAGTGAGGTTTCCAGAGCTCAAGAACCCCTCCCCCCCTATATAATCCCTCATGATAGCGTCGTTGGATAATATTCTACCCCAGGGGGGTACCAGCTGCGTTAGCTTTGGAGAATCCCCTCTGGATGTCCACGCTCAGAACACCATGCGTCTGGGCGTGGATGTCCGGGCTGCCCCGCGTATTCTGGGGGGGGGGGGGGGGGGAGGGCGCAACAGCGCTCGACAGGATATTTGGTCGCGTTGGGAGCAGGCACATCAGGCTACCCCTCGCCACGCTTGTCGTGAATTTCTGCAATATAAGGGGCCTTCACTCCAACCTCAACGCTGTCCACCACCACCTCGAGACAGTAAAGCCGGCCATGCTCTTTTTAACCGAGACGCAGATATCATCTCCATCTGACACATCCTACCTCTCCTACCCTGGCTATCATCATCCTTTGTTGCTAGGGCTGGAGTGTCCGTGTACGTTAGAGGAGATATCAGTTCACGCCGCCTCAGCAATCTTGAAGGAGACCCACCTTTCCATCTTGTGGCTCCGTGTAGACAGCGACGACCGTCCCCGCGTCTACGCATGCCTCTACAGGTCCCATAGCGGTGACACCGAATTTGACAGATTGATGGCTACAGTAATGGCTACAGTTTCCCTACTGCAGCAGATTCCATCCACGGACATCGTGATACTTGGTGACTTTAACGCTTACAACGCCGAATGGCTTGGCTCACGTAAGACCGATTGGGGAGATCTGTTCACGATTTCGCCATGACCTATGGCTTGTCACAACTGGTATCAACGTCCACGCGAGTTCCAGATGTGGATAGTCATGAGCCTTCACTGTTGGACCTTCTGCTGATCACCGATCCGGACGGATCCGTATTACAAAATCGCCGTTGAAGCCCAACAGTGCCACTCACGTGCTTGCTGCTGCCACTGTGTATGGCACTATAGGTCAGCGGACTGAGGTGGAATGCGCTCCTTCTTTGCGTCCTACCCATGGCATGTGTTTCAACATTTTGTCACTGATGTAGTACTTCAGGGCATGGGACTATTCGTTCCTTCTATATTGATTCCCATCGGTATCAGGTCCAAGCCCTGGTTCGACAGATCCTGCAAAACGGCGTCCCGCCGATAGCGGGACTACCAAGGATAGGCAAATGCAGTGACGTCATGCGATGTAAATACCAGCACGCTAAAATAATAATAATGCCTCCAGGTCCCTTAAAAGAGCCATTGCTAGGGCAAAATCGGAGCACATCAGCCGGATCGGTGAGAGACTAGTGAGACTTTCTTCTGAAACCCGTGCATTCTGGTCACAAAAATCAGTGCGTAAAGCACTCTTTTCACTCGACATTCATAAGTCGTGTGGGCCTGATGGAATCTCTCCTACTGTGTTGAAGACTTGTGCTCCTGAGTTGGCACCTGTTTTAACGCGCCTTTTTCGTCTCTCCTACTCTCAAGGCGTCGTCCCGAACTCCTGGAAGATAGCGTTTGTGCACCCGAACCCTAAAAAAGGTGACCGCTCTGACCCGTCCAACTACAGGCCTATAGCCATAACTCCTTTGTTCTCTAAGATTAGGAAATTCATAATCAAGTGCCAGCTCCTCCACTACTTGGATGATCACCAGCTACTCAATGACCGACAATATGGTTTTTGCCGGAGTCGCTCAGCTGGTGATCTTCTTGTCCTTCTAACACACCGGTGGGCACAGGCAGTCGAGACCAAAGGAGAGGCTTGTGCGGTTAGATTGGACATAGCGAAGGCTTTCGATCTGGTCTGGCATAAGGCGCTTCTCTCGATGCTCCCTTCCTTTGGGCCTCCTTGATATTTCTCGAGAAAACGTCATCGAGAGTCAAAACAATCTTGTGTCTGAAATTGAAAATTCCTTAGCGGAGGTTTCAGATTGGGTCTGACTAAATCTAGTCAAGTTCAACCTAAAATGACACAGATTTGAGCGTTCACCTCTATTAAGATACCATTTGTTGTATCACCTCGGTTTGAGAACACCTCCTTAACTGCCTCAGCCAGAATCGGAATCCTAGGCATCGATAGTTTTGGGGTCACTTAGAGGGTAAGGTCAAATTGGTCTCGAAGAAGCTTGTTTTACTGAACAGATCGAGGGAGTATTTCACTCCAGCCAACCGCCTTCAGCTCTATAAGGCGCAAGTCTAGCCGCATATGGCCGTTCGTTCATGGGCGGCGGTGGTCACTTTCCATCAGGTGACCCGTCTGCTCGTCTGCCCCTCTTACATAAAAAAAAAACAAGTCTAACCTCTTCTGTAAACATTGATACTTGTTTGACTACCGCGGCTTCTCCGATAAGACTGCCTACAGCAATGACTTTAGTGATCCACGACGCCTCTCCCGCCCTTCGTTCGTGGTGGGGCGCGAACGCATGATGTCAGTGTTGCCACAAGAAAAATATAGTATACATTTATTGCTAATGCTTTAATTTAATCTATTTGATAGCTACAATTTATTTAGATAGATTTATTTGAACAATATAAATATAATTCCTAACAGCTTGGTCATTATGATGTTTGAGCTAGTCCCTTCGCTTATAATAACATAGTAACACAAAAACCGATCACTTTTTTTTTACTGATATGACATTTATAGTATTTATGAATTTAATTAATGTGTATACATCCTTGTCATTATCATAAGTACTCAATTATATTTAAGTTTTTAAGAGGAACCAATGTTAAAATGCATCTTTTACATGTAAAAAAATATAGCTAGAGGGTATACTAGCTATTTTTTTTCAACACAAAATTAACACCGTCAGCGACGAAGAAGGTTACCCGGTAGCACGAGAAAAGGAGGTGGAATCCATGATAGATGGAATGGCGAGGGACGGCGTTATAGAGCCTTCATCCAGCCCTTGGTGTTCGGCTGTAGTGCTTGTAAAGAAAAAGGATGGTAGCACTAGCATGAGTTTTTGTGTTGACTAGCGTCGTTTGAACGACATTACGAAGAAGGACAGCTACCCATTACCAAGAATAGATAACACACTGGACATGCTAATAGGGGTAAAGTGGTTTAGTACCTTAGATTTGACAAGTGGATACTGGCAGGTATAAATTGATCCCAAGGACAAGGAGAAGACTGCGTTTTCTACAGGGAAGGTTTTCTATGGCAGTTCTAAGTTATGCCCTTTGGATTTTGTAACGTGCCAGCAACTTTTAAAAGACTGATGGAGCCAGTACTCACCGGGTTAACTAGAGACGCCTGTCTGGTCTCTTTGGATGACATTATCAAGTTTCAAAAACATATTCCAAACCTGGAACGCGTGCTATTGAAAATCCGAAGCGCCAATCTAAAGTTAAGTCCTAAGAAATGTTAATTTTCAAACGGCACGTAAGCTTTCTAGGATATGTGGTTTCGGAACAGGGAATCCAAACAGATCCGCAAAAGATCGCCGCCGTCAAAGATTGGCCAGTTCCAAGAGATAAGACCCAAGTAAGAGCCTTTTTGGGTTTGTGCTTCCACTATCGGCGATTCGTGAAAAACTTTGCGGAAATTGCGAAACCCCTGCATAAACTTACTGAAGAGAAAAGATTCACAATCTCCGTAAATTTGATCATGTATCCGGTTTCCGTTCGCAGCTCAATTGGCTACCAACTCGTCTACGCCGAAAAC